CGGGCGGGGCAGCAATATGACTCGCTGCCCTGGGTGCGGGCGGGCCCCTCAGGTGCCTCAGGTAACCGCCAGGGAGCCTCTTCCGCCCCCTCCCATTTAGGGCGGGAAGGCGTCCCATTGGCCAGGATGGGGCGCCGGCGAGGCTGTGAGGGAGCCATTCGAGCGGCGCTGAGGCGGCAGCGGAAAGGTTTTCTGGCGGTGTTTTCTTCAGTCGGCTGGAAGCTCAGGTCAGGCCTCGGACTTGGGTGGGGGTGGGAAGGGGAAAAAGGAGAGGCCGAGCGTTTAAGCCGTTGCCCCGCCTTCATGGCTTTCTCAAGAGGGACGCCATAAGCTTGAACCCCCCCCCTCAGCTGGGACTCCGGTGTGGCGGGAAGGGGGCAGCGGCCCTCGAGCCAAAGCCTTTACGCGGTCCTGAGGGGAAGGGAAACGGGGCCTTCAACCCGAGGCCTTCCTCCCTCACTTTCCTTCTTCCCAAAGGGCTTCTTTTTAGGGAGGGAAGTAAGCGGAGGTTTCTGAAGGGGGCAGAGAGAGAGATAGGGGAAAGGATGTTTCTGATTCTGAGGTCGGATGTTGAGAAAGAAATTGCAAAAGAGACAACCCCCCCTCCCGAAAGGATGAGGAGCGGGAACTCTCAATGTCCATTTCTGGAGGCAACCTTCTGTGACTTGGCTTCTCCAGTTGCGTGTGTGAGAGAAGCATAGGAGGTACGGAGGCCTTCTCTAAAATGCTGCTTGCACCCCCACCACCGCGCCGCTTGCCCCCGGGGATGCCCTCCCCCCCCTTTCTTCAGAGAAATGTTCTGAGAATGGGGATGGGGTTGGCATAGCGTTTTCATAGCCAGGTGTTGCCTTAACACAGGAAATTAATAGTATGAAAAGCCCCCCCCCCATGGTGTTGCAGAATGTCGGTGCCAGTCGTACGAGGAGCCTGATCCTGCCAAACAAAGTCAGCCCCAAAAGAGAAGGGAGAAAAGAAGGCCTCTTGCTTGGTGACCTCCTTGCTGGAATGCTCCCTTTCTCAGACAATGACAAGTTCCCTCCCCCAAACTACCTGTTTCATAATATTTTTGTAAACTTTTTGGACTCCCCTTTTGAGGCAAAAGGGTCACAGAAGTCCAATAAAGGAAAAAAATGTTGAAGACAATATTATCTCACTCAAGCCCCCCCCCACCTCAGGCAGAGACAGATGAATTAGATTTAAATTGAATTAATTAAAATCACAAGATGAATTGCTGCGAAACAGATTGACTCAAATCACTGGAGACCTGCACTGCCCAAAAGTGCTACAGGTTTTAATCCATAGGTCAAATTGAGGTCTTTGAAATATTGCACATATTAAGTGAAAATTTTCCAGATCTCTGTTTTTAAAAATACATCCTGAAGCCTAGGAGGAGGAGGAGGAGAAAGGGCGCCTTGCTTTCCCAGGGACCAGGAAGAACGCCCTCCCGAAAGAGAAGGGGGGGGGATTCCACATCCCATTCTTCCAGGCAAGCTCCTATTACTTGGCTTCCCCAGTTAGAAATACACCCTCCCCTCTCTCTCTGTGGGTGTGAGTGACTGAGTAACTGAGAGAGAGAGAGGAAGTGGGGATGCTCTCCCCAAAATGTTGCTTTCACCTTGCTTGCTAAAAGGTGCCCAGGGGTGCCTTCCTTCTGCTTTCTGGCCTGAAGGAAGTTTGCAAGTTCCTTCAAGACTTTATTCTCCCAATAACTTTTGCAAATTAGTTGGGGGGGGGATGGGACATTGTAACAGTAACTACCTCATATGTATTTAAAAGTGGGGAAGGAATAGGGAAGGCTTATCCCCAAAAGAAGCTGCCCCCCACTTGCTAAGGTATGCCCAGGGAAGCCCCCTCACACTCTTTAGCCTGAGGGAAGTTGCTTTAAAAGTCCATTTCTTCAGAGATGTAGTTTTAGAAGAGGTAGTTGTGTTAAGTGAAGTTGTCCACAAAAGCTTACATCAAGTCTTTATGTGCGACATTTTTCTTTTTTTTAATTTTCTTTATGTTTTATTCAGAAACTTGTTTTGGGAATGGGGTTGGGGGACATTGCATATTCAGGGCCAGATATTTCTTTTCAAGTTAACACTATTATAAAGTATACACACCCCATTGTTCTTGCAGGATGTCCACCTGCCAGTCATCTTCGTGCTAGTCATGTGAGGAGTCTGATCCTACCCAGGAGGCAAGGACAGCCGAAAAGAGGAGAAAGAAAAGGAATATCAGAACTATTCCTGGCTAGGTAACCTCCTTGATGGAAGCATCCTCTCTCCACAGATAGCAGGTATTGTCCTTGCACCCCCATTAGTTCTATACTAATCTCTCTGTGAGTCAGAGAGCCTTTTTGACTCCCCTTTTCCTCCAAATGTGTAACAAAAGTCCAATAAAGAAAAAAAATTGAAGAAAATACTGTTCACAAAGCCCTATGACCTCTTCTCAAGTTGTGGTACAGTTAATTTCATTTAAATGGAATTGATTAAAAAGAAGATGGAAGTCACTACTAAAAAGATTCTGGACCATTGAACCATCCTTGAAATGCATATTTCCTACTTGTCTGGAGTTGGGGGATACACAGGAATTAGGCAAAATATAGTTGCAAAGATAGGTGAAGCCACATGCATGTGCACACACAAAAAGTGGTTTCATGATTCTCATTTGCTAGTGTGGAAATGAGATTCTCCTGTGAACTATGAAGCTTGCTCGGGAAACCCATCTCTTTCACCCTGACACAACTTACAGGACCATAGAAGACACACAGGCTATACATTTAATAAACAAGTAAGTAAGTAAACAAACAAGCAAACAAACAACTAAATAAATGAGAATTTTTTGGATACCTTCTGATAAACCCTAACCCTTAACAAGCCATGAGATTAAACACTTTGTGATGAAGTAGACAGCAGCCATCCCAAAGAGATGGACTCAGTGCAATGGCAGAGCATCTTTCCCTCCACCTTAACCCCAATCCATTCTGCACCTGTGTGTTGCTCCTTCCCCACATACCTGGCTTATCTAGGAATGTTTTCCCCAAGAGTTCAACCTTATACTGAGAAATATGCAGTGGAACCTTAACCCTGCTTTAAGCTGGCCCTCCCGCATATGCTCTGGCACTGTCCAGTCTACATAGAACACAGTTGATAAGGCGCCCGTCTTAGGATAGTCAGATCAAAATACAATAGAAATCTAGGTCAAAATACAATAATGAAGCACTTTATTCACCTTTTGGTGTGTGTTTGAACCTTGAAAAGAAAACACACTAGAAGGCAGGATGTTACACCACCCAAAGTAAGAAAGTAAGTGAACTGACTCCCTGCTATAGAAGATGTGCGTATTGTGAAGAAAAAGTGCTGTCATGTTTACGCAGTGGCTGCTCGCTCCTTATAAGTGGCCATCATCTTTTTGATCTCAGCAATGGCTTTCCCTGGGTTCAGCCCCTGTCAAAGGAGAACAAAGTGAGCAGATGAAAGTAGAACAACTATAGCATCTTTATTTACTCAAACCCAAGGCTGCAGCTGTAGCTCTTGGCGACCAACACCACCAGAAATCAAGACATCATCATTGCATGACTGAGATGAAGGGAAATTAAACTGGTTCAGAATCTCTAAAAGGATGCAAAGGCAGGAAGCAATTCTCCTTTGTGTCGAAGTGCAGAATTAAATTTAGAGCTAGAAAGAGGACTCGTGAAACAGTCGTTTCATTTCTACAATAACCTCCTGGTCCAACGGAACAGCCTGCAGGTTTGTCACTCGAGCAACGTCTGTCCCTTCCAGATGTTGCTCTCTGCACTGCATCCAGCATATCCTTCTGAAATAGCCAACTAACAGCAGGTACTGTGGCCCCACAGCACACATAGCTAAAGGCTCTTCATGAAGTTGGGGCATCCAAGTGCCTCACCCCCTTGTCCCCTAGAGGAGAGGCAAAGGCCTCCCGTACCCAAATCATGCAATGAAAGGAAGGACAATCACCTTTGGGCAGGTCTGTGTGCAATTCATGATGGTGTGGCAGCGGTAGAGAGAGAAGGGGTCTTGCAGCTGTGCCAGGCGCTCCTCTGTGTAATCATCTCGGGAATCAATCATCCAGCGATAAGCCTGGAAGAAAAGAAATGGCATAGGAATCCTGCCTATCACAGGACACCAAGATGCCCAGAACAAGAACTCCCATATTTTATTGTCTTCTCTTAGATATGTATCTCACTGCCATGGATTTTTTCTGCCATGACGTCTTCTGTCTCCACTCACTTTCTTTATCTAACGAACCACCTCGCCACACTCTACAATCATGGTGATCTAGTAGGAGCTGTTCCTCACCTACCACTGGTGGGCACAGTGCAGCCTATGGCTCCCCTACGGCTTTCAGATGAGCTGCCTCCAAGCTGGAAATAAATGCCTGCTCCACCTTATCTTCCCAGCTATCCTTGATCAGTTCTCTCCTGCCTGGTTCCATGCTGCAGACCGGCAGCAGTGCCTTGACCTGGCCACCGTCCCCGTCCTGATCAAGTGACTGTGAGGGTTCTAAAGGAAGCCCACATCATGATAATTTCAGACGCATCAACAGCAATTGCTACCCGACTGAAGAGCGGCCTAGAGGGTTAGGAGCTCTCTCCACCGTCCTTTGCTACAGTGCTGCAGAAATCCACAAACCCCTTTGACACCCCTATTCCTCTTACCTGCATAAGCACAGCAGGGCCCAGGTACTTATCTCCATTCCACCAATAGCTGGGGCAGCTTGTACTGCAACAGGCACAGAGAATGCATTCATACAGCCCATCCTGGGGAGGAAGACAATAAGCTGTCAGGAAAAGGAAAATAACCATGCCATTTCAAGTTGGTAGGGTTTGCAGGAGAAAGCCCCTAAAGAAACACCATCACCAACACCGCACCCAAAAACATGGGTCTGCAGATCAGTCAGGGACCAGAGAGGTCAGGGCCCAGTCCACGACTAGGAGACGTAGCACGTTAAACCGAAATGCTTTGCTCCTCAGCAAAGACACACAAGACACAAAGGGAGGAGACCCCCAAAAATAAAAGAGGCTCACAGCCCTTTTAGGCACGCGTTGCATGCTAGGTTTACTTTTTGCACATGTGCTTTTAGTACATGGAAACAAGGGAGCTCTGCTTACACCAGGTCCTGGGCTGAATCTCTGGAAACAACCTTGATGCAGCAGGGACCTCAGACACCTGGAAGCCTGGTATGCAGCCCAGGTGCAAAGCAGAATCCCTTGCTGTGACATGGGAGAGCCCAGAGTTTCAGCAAAGTTTCGCTGGAATGACTGCCAGAGATGGCAGTCTGTAGGAAAGGGGACACATGCAAGCATTGATGTATTCCAAAACATTGCAGTGAAAGCTCACACCAAAAGAATAGAAACAAAAGGAAAAATTATTAACTAGCTTTTCCCGATCTTCTATGGACTGGAGATACTGTTCTTTGCCTTGATTGGATTCATCTTTTTTCTTCAAATAAGGCTGGATAGCTTTGTACTGGGCATAGAAGTTGCTTAAGTCCTGAACGGGAGAAACGAGAGAAAGTGAATGCTGATGTAATATGTTGGATTACAGTAGCTGATATCTGAGGGAAAGACTTTAAAAGATATATCTACAAAGCCCTATCTCAGCCAACATCTCTCTGTTGAAAAGTCTTGAAGATTCTGTCATTGGTGATTACAGGATGTGGGGTAGTGTTTCCATGTGCATGAAAACGGACATTTGATGTATTAAATAATGTATGAACATTAAGAACTGTATCCACCTGGTGTTTAAGGAGAAAGGCTCCCCTATATGTGACGATATCTGTGTGCTCCCTTCTGCTATACTGCTTCGTCACTAACACATATCTATAGCATAAATTGTCTAAAACATCTGTGTTCTCCTGTCTTCATAAGGACTCAAAGAGCAAGAGCTCACTGGCATTCTGGCTAGTCAAATACTGCCAATTTTTAGACCCTGCTGTCTTGTAGACCCACACAAATGAGTGGACATATCCTAGCTGCACCTATACACACACAACTCACAGTGGAGCCATGAACTGCACTCTAGAGGTGGTGCAAAGAGGAATCACAGGGCAACTGTATGAATGGAAATTAGAATATCCTAGGTATGTATCCAAGTAGTGAAGTAAATAAATTGTCACTCTAATAAAACAAGTTGCATTGCATTCCAATTGCAATTTTTTGGCCATAACAACTATATTCCAGAAGACATTGAAAACATGGTTAATACTTGTCCTTGTTACCCCATCAGCCCTTCTTTCACCATTGAAATATTTCCATGATTTCAGCAAACCAGCAGAAAGCTGAAGAAAAAGCTCCCCAATCTTGCCAATGGGCCACATGGATACTTACAGGGACAAGATCCTTCACCACATACATGTGGGGGAGAGGATAAATTTTGGTGACCTTGCTCAGGTCCGTATCGATCCTTTTCGTGCATGCCAAAGTATTGCCCCCACTAATGTTCATTGCACAGGAGCCACAAATCCCTGTGGGAAGAAGCCAGGTAATGGCGTGAGTGTCTCCCCTTCCCTGGTTCTATTCAGAAATTCCTCAGCAACGTCCTCGCCTTGTGTGCAACCCAGTCTGCACAGAGAACCCCCAAGCCTCCCACTTGCCTCAAGGGCAGTTTTAGTCAAACTTGGCTTGGAAGGAATGTTAAGGACGAGACAGAGCGTCGGACTCATGGCAATTGAAACAGGTGGTGCATCATCCTTCAGCTTCCCCACAATCCCTGCCGTGCCTATGGTGCACACAAGGAGCGCACCATTATAGCCATTAAACTTAGTTCCATTATATGTCCACTGACCAATGTAAGGAAAAAATTAAGCCATTACAGTGGGGTCTTGACTTAAGAACGGCTTGAGTTAAGAACATTTTGACTTAAGAACCACTCTCATAGGAAAAAATTGACTTGACTTACATACTTAGATTTGAGTTACGAACTGAAAAAAACTCACGTGGGAGGCAGGGAAAGTGCAAAATGTGAACTTTCAGTTAACTGTTGGCCAGTGAAAAGGGTGCCTGTCTGCTTCTTCACTCCTCCCAGCGTTTAGAGAGTGGATTGGGAGACAGTCTTCGGACTGCCTGGTACTGTCCTGCCTGGACTGTATTTTCTCTGCCTTCCCTGAACCTTTCTTGACCTAAGAAAAAAAGAAACAAAATATCCCCCTCTAGTGGTTGAAGGAGGAATAGCAGCTTCCCATTAATTTCTATGGACGGAAAACAGCAGATGCGGATCAAATGGTTTTCAATGCATTCCTATGGGAAATGCAGATTTGACCTGAGAACTTTTTGACTTGAGAACCACCTTCCAATACGGATTAAGTTCTCAAGTCAAGACCCCACTGTAAATTCTGGTCAATATACAAGACTAATATTAGCTGAAACCTCTTCAAAACTTTTTTTGTAACTGTTCCACTGAAAATAATGACATGCCACAAAACTGAAAATGCAACTACAGGTATAATATGTTGGCTTTCTAGTCTGGCCTTGCCTCAGCCACAAGAGTCTGTGTGTGACTGTTGCAAGTCAACAGAAATGTTGCTACTGAAAGTGGACTATCAAAGGCAGTCCTTGGAGTGAAATGAAACGCAAAACCAAACAGCCTTAGAATGGACCCGTTCTGGCAAAATTCTCACCCTGTTGAACCTGCTGCCTGCCTGAGTCTGTGGCTTCTCAGAACACCAGCCTAAATGACAAGCACATTTACCTTCTCTGCAGGACCGGCGGAAGGTCAGGGTGGAGTCCATTTCATTCTTAATCTTGATGAGGGCATCAAGGACCATCGGTCCACATCTACCATGTTTCCCCAAAAATAAGACAAGGTCTTCTATTAATTTCTGCCGCCTTCTTTCTACAGCATCTTCCTCCCTGCCACCTCCCGGAAGAAGGGAGCCCTACTTACTCTCGCCTGCACATTCACTCACTTGTTTAAGTCTATTTCGTACGTCTGCATGTGAGGTTTCTCCCCGGGGTTGTCCGGGTTCCAACGGTACACGGCGAACCTCTTGATGCGCCCAGACGCCTCGCGGGCAGGAGCGGCGGCGGCGGCGAGGTGGGCCGACCTCCGGCAGGCCTGCACCGGGAAGGGGGAGAGGAAGAAAAGGGCAGCCGGTGAAGCCTTCCCGCCGCCTCGGGCTCCGGCATCTCCGAGCCAAGCGGGAGAGAAAGGGAGCCGAGGACGACCAGGGTCCTTCCTCCTCCTCCATCATCCCTTCCTGGGCTCTCCCTTTCCGGCCGACTCGGCCCAGCGAGCGAGAGACCATCCCGGCCACTTCACACGCGCGGCCCACTTGCCCTCAAGCCGCGCTGCCCAAGCGGGGGAACCGGCATCCGGACGTGGGCCCGGGGCGGGCGGAGGAGGCAGGCAGGCGGCCGGCCCTCCCTCCCTCCCTCCCTCCCCCCCCCGCTACCGAATGAGCCGGAGGCCACCTTCCCGCCCGGGGTGCTCGGGGGAGGGGGGGACGCTGCGCGGCGGCACCCAAGCGGGTCTCCGGAAGCGCAGCCCGCTGGGAGGCCCGCCGCCCCACCTGGAGGAGCCGAAGCAGGGCCGGGCCGCCCCCGTCGCGGCCAAAAGTCCTGATCGCCGCCATCCCCGCCCCTCCGGTCACAACAGACGCCGCCATCTTGCGCCCTTGACAGTGGCCTGGAAGCGACTTCCGGCGAGGAAGGAACGGAAGCGTCGGGGCGTCCCGCCCCTGCCGCCATATTGGTTGAGGCGAGGAGGCGCACGTACGACCCTCTGCGTGCGCATGCGCTCCCCCAATCACGCTCCCGCCAAGCCGCGGCGTTCCCCCGCCTTGCTCGCGGACCGAGCGCTTGGGTCAAAGGTCACCGGGTGACGTTTCTTCATTTACGAAATGCGGGGCTTTCGACCAAGAAAATATTCTGAGGGTTGCGTGCTCGCCTTGCGTGCTTCCTGGGAAGGCTCTGC